CCCCAAAACCCCAAAACCCCAAAACCCCTTGGTAACTCCTTGACTGAAAATAATTTTTAATTCCAGAGGATGTCAGAAACCTTACCTCATAAAGCTTGTGACTTGGCTTTTTCTAGGTAGAGTATTTTGAAAATAACCTCCTGTATCCATAGCTATAGAAACTTCCAAAAGAATTCAGTAAAAAATTATACAAGCAAAGATGGATGACCTTACTTGGGCATCCAGAATTCTTCGAGGCACCAAAGATGTTACTCTAAGGTAATTCTTGCTTGAAGGCTTATATGGAACCTGATTCTTATGGCTGAATATCTATTGGCTCAAAATTTCTGAGAGTTTACAAACTTCGTTTAGAAGTCAGTTCAAAGTAATTACTTGCCTCCTAAATTCCCAAATTGTGAGGACCAGGTTAGCTGAGATGAATTGAGTGATACTTCAGTCCCAACAGATGTCCAGGATAAGAATAATGTTCCCTCTACGCCACGAATGAATACTCCTAGCAGCTCCCTGACAGCCTGTAAGACTCCGAGTCTCTCCAAAAGGTAAGGTGTAAGATGCTACTTTAGCATATAAAATCTGAAAAATGAAAAAGAAGGCAATACTCTTCCCGAAAATCAGCTGTCGTACCGAAATGACTGGTATTTGACTCTTACGAGAACTTCGAAGATAACATAGGCAACGATATTGTTGCAGATGAGTCAGATCCAACCTTTGGTTGGATCTCGGTCAGTGGGCAAAATATCACTAATGTTCCTCACGAAGAGCAGAGCTATGATACTTTCTGGAAAACAAAGAATAAGATGTATATTCCTGACCATATATCTGTCAAACAGTCAGATATATCCTCTAGGAATGATAAGTTAATGTTCCAACGAAGGGCTACTTCTAAGCTCAGAGATGCCCTTGTTGCCTCAAGTATAAGACTCAAGCATTTTTATTCGAGTCAGAGTAAGTTTCTCCCATCGAGCTCTAGATGGCCTACTCAGATAACCAACAAAACAACAAAAATCTCTTCTCAACCCAAGTTTGGTTCTCAATACACAAATAGGATATTTCTTCCTTTAACTATTCCTTCATAATTTCCTCAAAACTGGCACAATTTTGCTTAATTTTGCACTCATAAATTTAGGCTAAAATACCTATTAAACCCAAAAAAATTATTTTCTAAAACCAACATCATTAAAAATTACAGATCTTAGAGGAGCTAATCTTTGCAGCATATAGAGAATACGCCAGCGGAGCTAAGACGTGTAGAGCTAAGAATAGGCCCGCAAAGACACTGGTGGCTGCAGATTTGCCAACTGGCCTCAAGAAATTTAAGACCTACAAGTGTGCTAAATCTTCCAAACAAAGCATTAGAACTACGACTGCAACGAGAGAGGTACCTCTCTCCCTGCAGTTTGAGTCTGATGTATTCTTGCAAGAATATAGCTCTCTGATGAAGTCTTATAAATAACTCAATCAGGCACCTCTCGATGAGAAAGAAGGCCTTGAAAGAAGCCATCATTGATGACAAAACAGCTACCGAAGATCTTAAATAAAGATATTTCTAAAGCCTGAACTTCTAAGGTTAAAATTCTGAAGCAAATTGAGAAGGTCTCTGAGGTTAATGATACTAATAGAGCTGAGATATTCCAGCTGAGTAGACTTTAGCCGACCTGAATGAGAGGACACAGCAGAAATATTAAGCAAGGGAGTTGTATAAGTAAGCCTAATCTCCACATTTTTAGCAAGGAGAGAGTAAACCTCAAGGCTATAATTTCAACTCTAAAAATACCATTATAAACCACCAAGATGGGATATATGCTTTCAAGAAGGAACAGCAAGATACCAAATCAGAAGGTAATGTCTTTGTGATCCTTTAGTTCAGATCAGAACTTCAGATCTGCAAGAGTGCCTTACTAAAAGTAACTGGACGGGATTATGCATTAAATATAAGGGCAGATATCAAAAGATTCTCTAAATGAGGAAGAAAGTTTGATAGTTTCACTAGGTACCTCATCATCAATCTCAAAAGATCATCTCTAAAATTAGGGAATGAAGTCTCCAGTCAGAGTTTTGTTCATGGCTAAAGCTATCTTTATCTGCCATATTTTTCAAAGCAAGCTGGATAAGATCCTTAATGAATAAGTTTAGACATTTTTCAATAAGATAATTTTGAAAGGGGTTTTGGGGTTTTGGGGTTTTGGGGTTTTGGGG